TATGGATATATTTCTACAGAAATAATGCATGACATCTCTCAAGATCTCCATTATTAAATTCTACTTTAGAAATGTGTTGTAGAGCTAAATATTAGAGGAAAACTGGAAACTAGCATATTTTTTCATTAAAGACCATGAAAATTATATAACTGATTATGTTTTTCTATTTGGTTTTGGCTACCAGGAAGCTTAGAGCCAAATCTGCAGCCTATCTATGGCAGCCATATGAGTTCTTGTGACCAACACATACTTGAATTTTTTTTCCAAACCTCCACATTATAATTTTGATTCATAACTTGTCCTGATAGTTTTTAAATTTATATCTTACTAAAACTTTGTATTTTTCCCTTTTATATGTTTCCTACTGCTGCTATAGCAAACTTAGTAGCTTAAACCAATACAAATTTATTATTTTACAGTTCTGGAGGTCAGAAATCTGAAATGGTCTCACTGAACTAAAATCAAGGTATTGACAAGGCTATTCCTTCTGGTGGTTTTAGGGGAGAATCCCTTTCCTTGCTTCTTTCAGTCTCTAGAGGGTGCCTGCATTTGTGGGCTCACCACCTCTTCATCTTCAAAGCCAGCAGAGTAGCATCTCCACATCTCTTCACAACTCTGACCTGGACACTTATGCCTGCCTCTTTTACTTACAAGGACCTCTGTGATCGTTATGAGGATTACCCTGATCATCCGAGATCCTTACCTTAATCGCATCTGTAAAGTCCCCTTTGCCATGTAAGGTAACATTCATGGAGATTAGAACACGGACGTTCTTAAAGAACCATTATCTGCCAACCACACCTTTATACCTCGCCTCGTTTTGTAGAATGAGGTTGGGAGGCAAATAGGTATCTATAAGCTGTTAGCTTTGGCATTTCAGATTTCAGTTGAAGTTTTTATTTTAATATTTTACTCTGAAAAATCTTTATAAAAATATCAGATCTGAACAGTGCTATTACAATTAATAACATATTCTGTTTGTCTTGTTGTCTAGGATGGAACATGGGCTCATTTGCATTAGAGCCCAATAATGTGTAACATTCAAGGCCCTTTTTTAATAGAGAGCATTTGGGAAGTGTTGTTGTTATACTTTGGAGCTATAATTTGACCTAAGTATTGAAATTCTTGATATAGTGAGCAGTTATAAATTAATATAAAATATTTTGAGAGCTTGTCATTAATTATTGGTTTTGATAGAAGGCCTACTTGTTATGATTACCAATAAAGATACTTGGTAAAACTTTGTTAGTAGTGTGAAATATACATGGATTTTGATCAATGTTTCTGATATTTCCCATTAATTTCTTTGTTTTATTTCTTTATCACTATGATACATTATTATTTCTAAGTTTAAAAAATTCTAATCAAAATCAACCTGGGGCCTATTCACATTGCTGCTTTTGAATAATGATACTATGTTGTTTTTTATTTAAGTGGTTGGATGGTAAAGAAATAGAGCGTTCAGAAAGGATTCAGGCATTGCAAAACTATCCAGTAATTGAACAACAAGTCAGAGAACAGGAAAATGCTTACTGCCTAAAACGAGCCAAAGACAAAGAAGAGGCTCAGAGGAAACTTCGAGAAGAGCATGAAGATGAAGACAAGAGGCAGAGAAATAACCCAGGCTTTGACGGACGTTGGTACACAGACATCAATGCTACACTGTACGTAAATTATTAGAGTTTACTTTCTAGTTGACTTTTGTTAAAAACAGCAAACTGTGTTCTCTTCCTAAGGTGTTCACAGTATTACTTAAATCCCAGAAGATTAATTTGTAGAATACAATATGATGTGAAGTTTTGAAGGAAGGATATGAGCAGCCCATTGTGTGTGACATTCTGTGAGGCTTTCTTCCCTTAGAAAAAATGCCTTTCCAAGGAGAGCTTTAATTTGCATCTTAAATTATTCTCAGAGAAATCTCTATAAAAGATATTCAGGAAAGATGAAGTAACAGGTGTACATTGATTTACTAAGTAGGGATATTTTAGAAAAGTTAAATGCAAATCACATTATTATAAATTGAATAATTCTGATTGTATCTTAAAACATTCTATTTTGTAAATTATGTGCTGAATACATTTTTAATGTGATTAATAACTCTCTAATTGGTCTTTGTTACAAACTGGAATTTTTCATGCTTGTTTATTTATTTATATATAGTGAATTGCAACTATAGTCAGTTGACTTGATTTTATACAGTGAAAGCTTTCAATATTTAGTTAACAG